GTGCTGGTGTGTGTGTATAGGAGACATCTTCAGTGCTGTTGAGCACTTTGTGTGCTTGGCTGTGTTCTGCATGCTTTGTATGCGTTATCTGACTCAGACACAATTCTTTAAGGTTGATTTACCCTTATTTTACAGAAATAGAAAACAGGCTTGTATAGTTTGCCCAGCTCAGATATTGAACATCATAACTAGGATTTGAACCTAGATCTTGCTGATTAACTTGAGAACCTGTGCCTTTTCTGCTGGACTCTAGGAGCATAGAAGATTTTTTTTGTAAAACCATGCCTGGTCAAGCTTTGGAGCAGTATAGATTTGAAGCAGTGTTGTTCAATGCTTCCCCTATCACTTTAGCAGGGACCATGATTTATTACTAAATTCTTCTTTAATAGTGGGGATTAAAGGGAATTGCCTGAATTCACCTGATGGAATGCCGTTCGAGGCAGAGGCAGTTGCCTTGCTTTAGAAGGTCTGGTGTTCTTTCTGCTACAGTATACTGTCTCTCTGCTAGATTCTACTTAGAGCTTGTAGGTAATTATAGTCATGCCCTATGTATTTTGGGCCTTTTACATTCATTTAGTTCCTTCAAATATATTCATTGAGTTAATATTTATTCTTCATGGCACTTCGCTAAAAAGCTAAAAAAACAAAAAACAAAAAACAACCCACCTTGGTCTCTACCTTGAGAAATTCAGTGTCTGGAGAGAGAAATGTAAATACATAGTTGACCCTGGAACAACAAGAGGGTTAGTTTGTGTAGCTGAAAACCCATATATAACTTTCGACGCCTGAAAACTTAACTACTAATAGCCTATTGTTGACTAGAATTCTGCCTTACTGATAACAGAAACAGTCAATTAACACATGCTTTTTATGTTTTGTGTATTATGTATTCTTACTATAAAATAACTACAGAAAAGGAAATATTAATAAGAAAATCATAAGGAAGAGAAAGTATATTTAATATTCATTAGGTAGGAAGTAGATCTTCATCTTTATCCTGATTGTCTTCGCATTGGGTAGGCAGAGGAAGAGGAGAAAGAGAAGGGCTCTCTTGCTGTCCCAGGGAGGAGAGAAGTAGAAGAAAATCTAGATGTAAGTAGATCTGCACAGTTCAAACTTGCATTGTTCAGGAGTCAGTTGTATAAACAAATAATTAGAAACCAGTGTGAATAAAGCACCTAACATGGTGCCTGAGTTTGTATGCCTCTTTATAGAGTTGAATGACTACTGAGAATTGCTACAGAAACAGAGGTAGAAGCCAATAAAGCTGCCTGAGTGAGCTGAAGATGATTCCTTAGAAGAGCTCACACGGAACTGAATCTCAAAGATGAGTTGCGGTTTGCTGGGTATGAAAGAGGCAGTTATTCAGAAGGCATGGGAACAAGCAAGTGCAATGCCATGGGCACGAGGCCAAGGTTCACGGCACACTTGGAAAATATATGGTGCAGCTGGTGGAGATGGCCATAGCGAGGTGCAAAAGTGACTTTAAAAGCCTGCTGTCATAGATAAGTCGTCATTATCCTCATTTTATAGTGGAAGAAACAAAATGGGTTTTTATTTCCATAAAAGTTGAAGGCCCTCTAAGTGACTCATCTCAAATCCAAAAGCCATTTTATGCAGCTTAGAGTAAAAAATACCTGGGTCATTAAGGAACTTCAAGAGACTGAGACTCAGTTTACACTCCAGATTGAGAACAGCAAAAAGTCAATTTAAGTGATTTTATTTGGCTCATATTTCATACCAATTTGAATCTCAGGATTTTGCTGAGTTATTTTATTCCTAGTAACTTAAAACATACAGGACATACAACATCATTCAACAAAGAGAATATGGCTGTTTCCTAAAAATAGTTCTTTGAGTGGGAACTCGTTTGATGATATCCTTTTTTATTTAAAGCACCTAATATCATGCTACCTACAGTGTGATGTAACTCATCAAAATGAAGTATACCATTGAAAACAATATAAAATAATTATTACCGAAGTGTGTGTGTGTGTCTATATATATATATATATATATATATTTATATATATATATAAAACCTGCCTGATGATCTCCTAAAGGAGACCTCATCCTACACAAGCTTATTTTTATACAAATTGCAGTGTGGCAAAGAGACCCAAGGGTAGTTGGAGATGTGCAGCTATGCCCCTTCTCATGTCAGTTCTCCACATCTACACTGGGTGACAGGACATGGGAGCAGATGAGACAAGCTGTCACTCACCCACACTGCCCTTTGAAGAAAGGCCATGGGGGGAAAAAGGTGCCGCAAATGGGCTGTGAAGTTTACATACACTGCCCACTGTTAAACAGATTACGTCTAATGAAGTGTCTAATGCTCAGGCCATATCAACCTAATCCTTGGTGGCAGTTCATCCCTCAACTGCCAAAAAACACCGCCCTCTGGCCCTCTTTTGCCACTCTGGCGGCCAAGCACAGGGAGGTGCCCAGTCTTAATAAACCAAGACAGTGTGTGATCTGACATGCAAATGTAGGTCATTGCATATGTAAATGTGTGATTACAAACCTGCATGCCAAAACACATTAGTGAGACTTTGCTCTCAGCATGCGGTTGTCACTCTGCCTTAGCAGTTGATGCTAGTATTTGTCAAGTTATTGTGCAGACAGAAGATGGAATTCCCAGTCAAATTTAAAGTATCTGAATTGTTTGATGGTGTTTTAATGGTGAAGCTGTATTTTGCTGTTGAGATTGACAAATCTTCATTAAGTGAAAGAATGGTCTCTGTGTGTGGGAGAAGGACTTATCCTTATTAGATGACACAGACTATTCTAGTTTGTCAGTATAAACAATTCTTAGGAAATCATAGGCAATTTAAAACGTTTCCTTTTTAAATGAAACCTTTATGTAAAGTTAAAAATGTAAAAAAAATAGCAAATATCCATTGAGTATATCTGAGAATTGGTACTTGGTGAGTTTCTTTGTTACATAACTATCATTTTGTCACACTGACAATTATAAATTCAGTGGCTAGAAATCCATTTACAAATGAACATCATGGCAAGTTACCTCCTCTTTATTTGATAATTTTATTTTGGTTCTTTCTTATTATGGTATGCTTTTTCATCTTCAGTTTTAACTTGTTCTGTTTTTATCTTTATTTTTAATTTTTTTTTTTTTTAATCAAAAGACTGGCCATTGAAAATGTCTGTGGATCATGATGTTGGGTCCCATAATGTTGCTTAATAACATGGCAGTGTGGCATAGGCTGTACTTGGGAATCAACTGGACATTCACATGGTTTGATGACATCTATATTATTGGATTGGTGAGAGAATTGAATTTGGTGGCACTTAAAGTCCTGATATACAGTCCCCAGTAAGTTGTGGGGATGAAAATTGGACCTTCTGTTATTGTTGTAGTAGTTATATAACAATTAGCTTATGTTCCTTTATTTATGAAATGAATTTAAGAAATTTCTTATATTTTAAAGGAAGCATGATATTTTTCTTAACATTATTTTGGACTTCTAGAATAAGAAAGCAATGTACAATAACAAATTATCGCTCCTTTTTTTTTTAGCGAAAACATTGGGTTTGAGTTACAGTGACTCTTTGACAGAATTTTACAGTTTTTGTTAGCATGATAAATACAGTGAAATTAAAAGTAACATGTACTAGGGGGTTAATGCAAAGTGTTGCCCATATATCAAAATAGCCTTCTGCCATAAGTCCAGGATATGGGGTCATCAGCCTTAACAAAGGTTTATTTGAAGGCCGAAGAGTTAACCCTGAGTGTAATATGTTCATGAACCAGTGCTACCTTTGCATTAATAGGTCTTTAATATTCAGTCTTATTAGAGGGTGCAGTGTGCTAGTCTGGCCCCACAGGAATGTCATGTTGGCTTGGAGAGTACAGAGGGGGCTGCGGGTGTGCCGAGGGTGGTAAAAGACATGGAGAGCATCAATACTCCAGGAATCTTCAGAAGGCTCAGCCATGTCTAGCTAAAAAAGAGAAGACATAAGGGCATGTGATGGTGAAAATAGGCTCTTTTGTTACATTTTATATAGCTAGAAATGCTAAAGTGAATGCTATCAGGAACTCAAAAGGTCATATTCCAACTTTAGCAATAGACAGTGTCTGACTGTAGTAGATGGTCAGTTAGTGTTTACCCCATAACTGCAGATTAAATGAATGAATGAGCCCATGAACAAAAAAGTCAACAAAAGAACTAGGGCAGTCGGTAATGTTTATAACCTGAGTTTTGTCTCAAAAATAGGGATGGCTGCTGTGCCCCTGCCTGTAATCATTTCTCTCATAGCACAGTGAAGAGCCTCTTCCATGTATTTGGGTAAGCTGTTTGGGAGCAGAAAGCATATCTGATTCATCTCTGTTTCCCTAGTAGCCAGCACAGTGCCTGGCACATAGTAAATATCAAAAAATGTTAGTTAAAAAAAGAAGTATCTTTTTCCATGTTAAAAAACAGACAACAACAAAAAATATTGTTTAAAATGTAATGATTTGGTAGTAAACTCCCTGCCACTGGACGTATTCTTTGTGAAAGTTAAATAACTGTCAGGAAGTTAAGAAGTGTTTCATGCATTAATTGACAGTTTGGACTAAATGATTATATATTTTTGTAAGGTCCATTTCAACTCAAAGATTCTTTGCAAAAGAAAAGAAATATCAGAGAAATACTAGATTGGGTGAGACAAGTTTATATTCTGTGAACTAAGGACAAGTTACAAGGAGTTCCTATCTAAAATTTCAAACTGTTCATCCCCTGTCTCTATATTCCCCTTACTAGAATATAGTTCTCAGCTTCCTCAGGTGCAGAGATTATTATCTCTTCAGTCTGCTGCTGTATCCTCAGTGTGTAGAACAGTGCCTGGCATGAGTTCAATAAATATTTGTTGTTGAGTGAATGGATGTCTATACACTTACCCTGGGTGTCAGCTACATATATGAAAATGATCAGTGATTGTGTGTATTGTGTGTATACTGTGTGATTGAAAATGTTTCTGACATTTTTAAATTACAGAAGGCCTTACGACCGGATATGGGCTATAACACATTAGCCAACTTTCGAATAGAAAAGAAAATTGGCCGCGGACAATTTAGTGAAGTTTATAGAGCAGCCTGTCTCTTGGATGGAGTACCAGTAGCTTTAAAAAAAGTGCAGGTAAGATGTTTTTAATTATATAAATCAGTGTAAAATTATGCTATGTGAATGATGGATGAGAAAAGTATATCCTGAATGAGTGGGTATGGATAGCCTGAAGTTGAGAACGCTGAGAAAGAATGAGTGTTGTATTTTGAAAGCTAGAATCGAGTGTAGTATGGAGTGGAAATTTTAGATTTAACACAATTTCTAGCCTTTAAAAATTTAGCTGGTATTGAACCTGGAAAAGCTCTCACAACTCTGTATTTTAAGAGGCAGATTTGAGTTATTACCATTACTTCTACCTGGACATTTAACTAGATGTTGAATGCTCACTGAAGTTCTACAGCTACAGGCATTGCATTCAGAAACTAGTCACAAAATGTACTGCCTGAAGTTAGTAAATGGCAGTTAAACCATACCAGCAGAAAATGAAAGGAAAATGATGTGAACTTTATTTACTTAGAATTGAAAAAAAAAAAAATGAGGCGGATAAAATTAGAACATTGATACCCAGCTTTAAAATCCTTTATTGTATTTGTGTCATTCTGGAATCAGCTTTGCTCCCTAATCCAGATCCTTTTCTGTCTTCTCAAGTTCATTTATCTTGCTCCAGCTCCTCTTTCCAAGTCCTGCCCTAGCCCTGGAGTCGCAGTCCCACTGAGCGACGCTGGAATGCTCACTTGCCAGAGCCCTGAATGTTTCACTGACCTAATGAGATCCTCTGGCCTAGAAAGTACTTGTCTTTCTGCCTTCCAGTGTATGTGACATCAAACAATGAATCACACAGTAAATCATATACTTTTACTTCCCTCTTTCAATTAAGGTAATAGTGATTCTTTACACCTGCTGTAGCCCATCCTGCTTTGCAGATCCTGTATCTTTTCTCTGCAGAGACCTGTGAAATCTAAATTTTTTTGTATTTTTTTAAACTTCTTAAGCTGATTAGTATACTTGTGACAGCCAGTATAGAGATGAACAGTTTAATTTACATTTAAAAATGAAATATTGATGATTTATAAAAGGTTTTATCTGGTATATGTGTTAGAGAGAAACAATAATAGAGATACCTCCATATCCACAAGCCAGCTTAAGACGTAAACATGAAAAATATTTCGACGTGTGTCTGCCGCTCCCTTCCCTCAGAGATAATCATATCCTGAATTTAATGTTTATCATTCCTTTGTTTTTCTTTATAGTTTTTCCTACACTGGTATGAATTTCTAAAGCAAAGTCTATTATTTACTTTTGCATTTTTTTGAATTTTACATAAATGAAACATTTTATATAAGCATTTTACACACACACACACACACACACACACACACACACACACACTTAGAGCTTGCTTTTTTCACATAGCATCATGTTTGAGCAATTAGTGGTGCATGTGCTGTACTTTATCCTTTTTGCTACTGTATAATATTCAGTTCTTGTTGATTGTTGTTTAAGTTGTTTATGGTTATTTGCTATTACAATGCTTCTCTGATATTCTTGTGCCTTTCCTAGTATACACATACAAGAATTTCTCTCTTATTTGTGCTTAAGAATGGAAATGATGAGCCACAGAGGATGCATGCGTACCGCAAGTTAATGCCAAGTTGTTTTCCAAAGTTGCACTGGTGTATGTTTTCACCAGCAGCATATAAGAATTGCAGTCTTCTCTGTTTTAATATGCCATTCAAAACTTAAGAAAACACAATATAGAACGTAGTTATTAGAGTTTGTGAAAGAGATTACTTTTGGAGCTATTATTCCCTTATAAAAGAACTCTTTGATTCATTTTTTAAAATGTATTAAATTTCTACTATGATCTCTGAGGACCCAGGGAAATAAAAAAGAAATGTGGTATTATTCTTGCCCTCCAGGGGAAAAAGAACCCATCTAGAACAATTTAATGTTAAACCCTGTGGCATGGGTTCCTGATTGAAATAAGAGTTCACAGAATGGAGATGTCAGTTTGAGCTGCTGGAATTGGTGGAATTGGAACCTAAGCCAGGCTGTAAATGTGAGCCCAGATTGTGAGCTTTGGAGCCAGGCAGAGGAATTTGAACCGTAGGCAATCGAGGATGCAGTATGGACTCTCAAGTAGGATAACACTCTTCAAAATCCATTATTTTTAAAACAAAATTACAGGCTCAACGTACAGAATAGACTGGAGAGAACAAAGCTGCCAGTCTGCCACAGGTCATCAGGATGGGAGGATGGATAGATTGAGATCCATTTGGAGGTCTCTGGGGATTCTTGGATTCCTTCTCTGATTCTGAGTGTGGAAAAGAGGGCTCAATTCTGTCTCCTGTGATTATTTTTTACATTGCGGAAACTTGTCATTAGAAATAGAAAGAAAGAAAGAATAGAGGAAGGGATGGAGGGAGGAAGAAAAGAGCTCTTGCCTGCATTTTTCTTTGTATTGATTGGAAGTGTGAATACATGTGAGTTAATTTGCACAGTTTTATTTCCAGTCAGTATTAATTTTATATTACCCTCTAGATGCTTCTCTTTTTCACTGTGATAAACCTCAAAGTAGGAAGTTAAAGTTTGTTTTGGATTATCCCATTCCTTTTTGCTTTAGTGTTGATATTGTGACATCTTCTAATTTAAACCTAATTGCTTCATAGAAGAGAGAAATGATATTGTGCAGATATTCTTAGCTTATTTATTAGGGAGCAATGCCTTAAACCTTTGTAAGGAGAAATATATTTGCATTTTAGACATATTATTGATTCTTGTGACCTATTACACTGTACTGAACAGGGAAACCCAAGGTTCTTTCTTTTTAAAAAGTAATCTCTGCAGCTTAAAATAAAAAATTGAAAAATACTGCTGACCAATGCTTTTCCTTTTTGTAGAATGCTAACCCAGCTCTTTCAAAAAAACTCTAAAGAATCAAATATTGAATTTCCTCATGCAACTTGTTATTTTAAGGCTATATTACTTGTCTCAAGAACTGTATTACTATTCGCAGGTCCACTAGATTCCTTCTTGAATACTTTGGTTGAGTTCATAAACTGAAGTATTGGTTTTATTATTCATTTCTCTGCTTATGAATTTTTAATGAGATACTGTCCAGAATCCTCAGCTTAGTTTTCAAGGCCCTTCCCTACTTTATGCCACTCCATTTAATTTACTTATTCGGGGCCTTTAACAAAGGATGTGCTCAACTCTGGCCACTTTCCTACAGGTTTGCCTGTTACCTGTATTGGAAAGAAGAGTGTGTTCTAAAGGCATGTTACTTCCTGGAAATTATAAAGAGATCTGAGACTCTACAGTATATGGCAACATTAACCAATCTTTTGGAAGATTTACCTGTATCCCATCATGGTTCATTTGCAAAAAAATAAGATGGTGCCTTAACTAATAGAACAGTTTTGAAATTGTCTGTACCAACTTTGCTTTTGTCTGTTGCCTCCTTCTTCAATGCTTCTATTTCTGCTGATCATTAAATTCATTTCTCCGGTATTTATTGATCATCTAATGTTTATTGGTCAGTGTGTAAGGGTTTTGGAAGATTAGGATGAAGATAATGGGATTCATGTGATTCTAGTTAGGGTACAACAAAGACACCTAAAATAATGAGATAGGCACTGTGATAGGAGCAGGCTTGAGGAGAACAGGTCTGAGGAGGAGCTTAGGAAAGAGGCTCCACAGAGTTTGTGAGCTGGCTCTCAAAAATTAAGTTCTTTGTATTGGAAGATTATCAAAAACTTACTTTGATTTGGTATGTGCAATTTCTATTTTATATATTTTGCTCATTGATTAGAGCTATAGGATTAAAGTTGGTTTTTATTTTATCAATCTGACATAGTGTTATAGTAATGTACATTTTGGATCTTACTGTTCCTTAGTTCTTAGACAGTTGTTACTCTCATTTTTAAATAATATGTGAGGTATTTTGATCCTTTATCCATTGATCCTTAATTTCTCTTTGTTTACTCTTAACTATGTTTCTAGATAACACTATTTTACTGTGTGGCAGACATTGTCAGTGAGAATATTTTTAGGAAGAAAAGCTAAAAAACATACTTTATGTATTTATTATACAAATAAACATAAAGTGATAATATTGTACAGATTCACCTTTTTATTCAGGTGATCTCAAAAAGTCTTCCCCAAAGTATTCTTTGATGTTGAATGCTTTCCTTTTATTTACTTATGTTTGCTAGTTGCTGTAAAGCATTTTTCAAGAAAATAACTTTTTAACTTTTATTAATAAGTTACTTTTTACCATGTTAATTTTAGATTTTAGATTCTGCATGTTTGCATAAATCTAAATTAGATATGAAGTTAGAAATTAGGATTAGATTATCTAATCCTAATTAGAATCTAAATTAGATATATAATTAGAAATTAGGATTATATATGATCAGAAATTTGTGGACAATGGTAGTGCTTCCATAATGCTAGAGTGCTTTTAACATATTTATAACCTCGGTGGCTCTATGTTCAGTCTCTTTTTCGGTGTTCAGTGTGATTAATAAATTTATCTCACAGCTTTTATGAACTTCATCATTTAATCTCTATAAACGTCCTTTCAATTTCCCAATTGTTATTTGAATGAATGAAAACTAAGCTTTTTTTGTAAGAACAATTCATAAATGACATTTTAAAAAATTACAGGACAATTTAGTAAATTAATATTAGTTTTTACTTGTTAAGGTGTAATAGACTTTTATCTTAAAAATTAAGGCTTTTTAATTTTAATTACTTGTACTTGCAATCTTATTTAAGCATTTCTAAACATATGAGAAACAGAAAATTTCCAATTTTATTGAATGTTTAACATTTTGGGGTTATAATGAATGCTCCTATATAGTATAAATAGATTACTAATGTTAAAGTGTTTAAGTAATAAAGGGGACATCACTGAAATAATTTAGTCCTTTGTCCTTTTTTGATGTTCCAGAGTTTCTTTTCTTTTTCATCTTTTGGTACCTTAGGGTTATTAGTATGATAATGCATATTTTCACTGTATGAGTTTATTTTTAAAAAATTTTAATTATAAACTCCTCTAGTGGCCATGC